AAAAAGTTTCAAGAAAAAGCTACGGCAGCACTAAAAGCTTTAAGAAAATTAGATTTTAGAAATTCTCCACATAACTCTAAATAGTAGAACTGTGCTTTTAAAGATACTAACAGATGGACTGTCAAAAGCTTATTAAAGTTAAAGTCAAGCCAACTGCCACTGGCTGTTTACCTGCGTTAAGTGAACCGACATGATGGCTTTGTGTTGTCACTCTCGACTTTTTTGCTCTTGAAGAAAGCCAATAGTAGCATTTCCAAGAATGTCAAACTGTCAGTTGTAACGGTATAAAAACTGAAAAGGATTATGGGTAGAAAAAAGAAGGTTCTCAAGGGAAGCACTGATGCAAAGTTAGTCTCACCAAAGGTCACAGAATAATTGTACTGTGTCTGACAATGAGGTCAGGATCACCTTTTAAACTGAAACTTGCAAATAATTTCAAGATATTAGTACAGAAAATGCATATTGGATGGATAAAAGGGTTAACAGAAGTAGGGGGGGAAATAAAATTTAATTAGAGAACAAACATCCTTACCACATTCAAACAGGTTCTGTTTAATTAATTATATTATAGGTGTATTAGAACATTCTGAGTGAACTACTATGGAAAATAATACTCTATAAGCTTATATTAGATCCTTTTAAACTTCTGCTATTGTGTTTTAAAGTTCTTCCAGATGGTTAAAATATCAATTTAACCCAAGTTTTTTTTAAAGCCATATTAAAGAAAAAAAAAATCTTTCTGCATCTTCCTGCAGTTTAAGGTTTAGAAAACATATTAAAGTTTTGTCAGACCACAAAAATCCGATCCTCCTGCCTCCTTGCCTTTTGCTATAGATTGCCATTCAGCTGGCTGAAGGCGTGTTACTAAACTAATGGTTACTGTTGCAACATTACATTATATCATTAAATATTAAACGCAATAAACTTTACTTTAAAACTACTTCAAAACTTATTAAAATGAATGTTTAAAGATTGATATATTTTGTTGTAATCTATATATTTGAATTGTTTAATTAGCAGTGGAAGCCATTCTTGTTTTTTGTAATGAATAACTGGGGAGTGGATATAGTGGATATCATTTTTACATTTTAAATGTCAATTAAATCAACTCAAGATCACCAGACAGTAACGCAGTGTATGATTTAACCAAACTCTAGGTTAAAGGAATCAGCAAGACTAAACATTCATGCAAATTCATCTTTTTCTGCTTTTCTATTTCCCCAAAAGATCTTTAAAAATGCTTTGATTTTACCAACATGCAGTAAAACTCAGTTTGATGTGATTACCGGTAATAAAGTCAGTTTATCAATGATGAAACATGACAACAGAATTTTTTTTACTTTAGCATCACCAGGGGTTTAAAACCCATGTAAAACTTTTGATTCCAGTCTCATTCACTCACACAGGCAACAGACACAAACAGAAATAATTAAAAGGGAAAGTAAAACTTTTTGAAAGGAACGTTTGAACCTGAAACATAAACGGCATCATTATCCCTCATTTTAATCAGGCAATTTTTTAATATACGATACATACATAAGGATGTATTATAATTTATAACATAATGTTGGTGATGATAAACTGTTGGAGTTCAAAAAGTTACAGAAATGGGAGAAAAGCCAAAACCGACACATTAAAATAATGAATTTCAGCACAAAATATTCAACTCACTTTTCAGCCAACTGCACAAAACAGTGATTCAACAAACTAGTGGGGTTTGTTTCATGCTGGTTGACCAATGTAGTTAAAAACATTAGGACCTCAACTTCAGGTTGCTTAAATGCACACAAAAAAACTCCTGGATAAAATCCAAAAATGTTCAGATAAACTAATCTGAATTCAGTTGCCATGATTCAGATGATAACTCACACAGACAGTTGCTCTTCATTGCCTTCTAGAGAAGGCAATGAAGAGCCAAACAACATTAGAGGGTAAATACACAACTCAATCCACGCTGCCACGTTGTGTTGTCTCAAAGTATTTTCCATGTCTTAACCTTACAACAAACCTTTAACATAAACACCCTCCATCAGCTTTTTAACCTCAAATGGCTTCCGTCAGCAACAGCTGCACGAGCGCAAGACAAGTGCCATCCCATTTACCTACCCCTGGTCCAGATAATGAGGAGCCACAGGCTCTGGCACACACACAGCCAGCAGTTATTAAGGCCCACTGTACACACACCCAAATCCACAACACCCAGACCCATTCCTCAAAGCAATACTGCCACCAATTAGGGGGCTATTAAGCTGGGAAATGTGAGGACTTAATAACAAGACACACACAAAAAAAAAAAAACAACTGTGGCAATTGCTGGTTGAAATGAACCGCTGACATTTGTCTGAGCGGGAAGTTGGAATTGATTGGGAAACAAAGACTGGGCTGACATCGCTCCCACTGGACCTCCTCCTTCTGTTTCATGTAACTAAGTGACATAATTACATTTTTAAATGCTAACATTGTTAAAAAAAAGAAAAAAAAAGAAAAGCAGCAATGCAGTCTCAGGCTGCAATGGGTCTATTAACTATAAAATACAAATGAAATGCATTTAAATAATGTGCTTAAATTGGCTTAAAATGATTCTCCTCCGGTATTATATCAGAATGTTGTCACTTTATAACTACAAACAATATTCTGTTTTACCAACATTTTTTGGGACACAAACTAAAGCTGCTAGACAAGAAGCTCTTTTTATTCAGACAACTTTATACATCTGCCAGTGTGTATTACAGAAATAGCAATGCCTTACATGAAACAGGGTGGTGGCTCAGTAATGCTGTGGTTAGGGTGGATGATATAACCGAAACTTATCACAATATATTTATAAATTTCAGTCGATAAGATATAATTCTGATATCGATAGAAAACATGTCAAACGCCTCAGAAAGGGTCCCAGGGATGCCCCTAACAAATGCCGGCACAAATTTGGGAAAACTATTTGGAATGTCTGTAAAACTCCTCAAATATAACATTTTAAAAATTATTGTTAAAAAACACATCCAACTATTTCCAATTTTAGCTACAACCTCAATAGACTAAATTTAAACCAGGACATATTGTCACCTTATAATGGCCACTCATTGTTGCTAAACTGACCCAGTTGGAACTACTGCAGTCTGTGGTGAGCATCATCGCTCATGCAGCCAATATATTCTAAACTAATCACAAACCGTAACATATATCAAAACACCAGAAATGCTTTTAAAATTCATATCCCTGTTATTGAATAAAAATATACCACTATAAATATTGATATTGAGTTATTGAGCCCTGTGCTGTGGGGATACTTTTTAAAGGCCTGAATACCGAAGCTGATCGCATTTAATAGAAAGATTGATCAAGCTAAATAGAGGACATTTCAACCAGATAAGACGTCATATACAAAAAGTCTTGAGTGGGTGCAGGCATTTATTGTATGATTTATCACTATGGTGATAAGTTGCCAGTTATGATAAGAATTTTGAGTATTGGTCTAAATGATAAATTAGAATAAATGATGAATAAACACTCCAGAATTTTTGTTTTCCAATTTTTTTTTTCATGCGTTTCCATTGGGTCATTTTTAAAATTTGAAGAATATGATCAAATATGGTTACTATGACATGTTTAATGGTATAAATCATACTTCTTTATGTAACTGGTGTTCTAAAGAAGCTGAATTTACATGTGTATATTATTCAAGAGTATTTTTTGTGATTGTGGAGCACCTGAGAAAGACTGCAAAGAAGTGAGTTTTTTTTTTTAAATCATATGTTCTATCGTTATCATACGATGGATTATTAGGGCCAGGCTGGAGATGTATTTTTTTATTTCGAGAATAAAGTCACAATATTATGAGAATAAAGTTGCAAGGAGAATATTCATAAAATAGCGAGAATAAATTTGTAACATTACGAGAATAAAGTTGTATTACATGACAACTCTTACAAGAAGCATTTTCTTCCCTAAAATGAGGAATGTCGAGCATCATGTGAAGTTATACTTTTGCTCTGGTTTATCAAATAAGGAAATATTAAATCTTTTAGCACATCAGCATGAAATTTGACATTATGTCCAACTGGACTCCGGTTGCTGTTTGGTGGAGCTGGTCGGCCGTCATATGCTGGTGGGAGCTTGAAGCTTTCTTTCTGAAACGGGTTGTGGTAGGATGACTTCATTCTCGATTGAAGATTTTATGTTCATATCAACCAGCCCTAATCTAGAGACTTATTCAGATAACTTTAAAAATTAGGACAACCCTGAACAAACAGATTAAAAATAATTATCAAAAACTGATCTATTTTCCAAGAAGTGATCTTATATTTACAAAAACAAAAAAAAAAACATAACATTAGCTTATTTCTTTGTTGGGATTTGAAATACGCGACATAGAAATGGAATAAAGTACCATGACTATTGTAGCTGCAGTGTTACAAAATGTCAAAGTGGTATAAATTAGGGGTTTTCTGAATGATCAGCCATTTATTCCTGATTTTCCTAATTATGGAAAATTGGTGATCTGCCGATACTTTGATGATAAACTGATCTTATCTATCTCTGCAAAAGTAAGAAAATCCTCCGCTGTCAATGCTGTAAATGTTTATTTACAGAGCAGAAATTTGTACGTTTTTATAGTTTCACAGGTAATATGCAATGTTTTTCAGTAAGATAAGATCTAAACATCGAAGGTTTCCTGTGATCTTATCAACTGAAAGTTTAAGATCTGAAAAAAATTAAACAAAAGACATACCAGTCAAAAACGCCATGTTGTTTTGTTATTAATTTGAGTACAAGATGACAATAAAGCTTGTCTAAGTCCAAATCCGGCTTTTTATAGATGGTTTTCATTCAGATATCTGCAATTAGTGAACCCCTAGTATGAAAACTTTAAAAAGAAACTGTACTGACACTCTTCCTTTTACTTTGTGTTTGTTAATTTCATAATCTACAAAATCCTACTTCTGTTCAGAAATATTCCCAACATCTAAACATTCGTGGATTCTGATCTTTGCTGCCTTAATGCGTCACTTCTTTTTACTTTCAGCAACACTTATGAACACTAATGCCTAAAAATAAAGTTTGGAAGTGGGATGTCTTAACATTTCTCTTCACAGACAACCTTTAATGTTTCTAAGGGCGACTGAAGTTAGCAGATGAGTATCGGTGTCAGTCAGCACCTCTGTGTGGGACGGAACTCACTTGTCCAGAGCAGAACCTTGTGTTTGGTTGCTGGTCAGTCTAGAGAAGACATTGCGATCATTCCTTGTCCGTAGAGGAGGGGAGGAAGGGGGGGTGTAGCCATCAGTGGGCCTGATGAGGATGTAAAGAAAGTATTTGTGAGCAAAAAAATAAATAAAAATCAATTAGAGATCCGGCGTTTCATCTGGTCGCAAACATCTGTACCTGTAAGATCGGTCGTAAGATTTCCGTCTTGTTATGGGGGAAGTGTCATAACCTCGAGACTGCCTGGGACTGAGACATAAAAAAAAATCCAAGTAGAAACATATGAAACAGATAATACAAAGAAAAAAAATTTTTTTTTAAGCTTAATTGGGCCTGGAAGGTGACGTGCCAATTAAAACAACTCAAACATGTGGCTGAACCTGATCATACCTGGCGGACATCAACCTTTAGAGTAGATGCTGCTACTGTGCAAATAGGTATTAAAGTTAGCACCTCTCTGTGTTCATCACATGTTTAAAAAGAAGGTGAGACAGATCCTATGGCTGTAAGAAGCCTGATAAAAAGAAACAGTATGCGTTTTTTTTTTTTTTTTTTTCAGGCTGCCAGAGAGCAGGAATGTTAGCAGATAATACAAAGGTACGGCAAAGTGGCTCATTTATCCATTCATGCTTTAAGCCTCCGTCTCAGGCTAAAGTTTAAACTCTGGTACAAATGGACGCTCCATAGTGTCTTAAATGGTACTTATTGCAAATGTTATCAACTATAATTAATATAAATATGCACAAATGAAATGTGATATAAGCTAATAAGCACAGAGACGTCCGGGCACAGTGATTGGTTTGTCTACTATTGAGAAAGAAAAAAAAGCTCAAAACAACTAAAAAAAAAAAAAACCTCTGAAGATGAAAGTTGGATTTAGAATAATATAAACATAACCATCCTCCACCATCAAACAAAAAAAAAATAGATTTACTAATTAATATCCTCAGACTAATGCAATCATATTATCAAATACTGTAGCATCACCTGCAATAGAGGAAGGTGTTAGCAGCTGCAAACAGACCGTCCAGAGCCGTTATTAGCAGGTTTATATGCCAGGCGGCCATATTGTTTTTTTTATGTCAGGGCTGATGACGAATCATAGAATTTCCCACATGATATGAACTTCCGTCTGTTTTTTAATTACGCCCTTTAAAATGTGGACTTCCGTGTAAAAATGGCAAACAACAAGAAAATGAAAACCTTAGCCAATGAAGCAGAGGGGTGGAGCTTTACGGGAATACACACAGAAACTGCTGATTACACACTTTGTAACTCTAACCATGCAAAACTATGGTTGTTTGTATTTTTACCTCCATTAAGATCTATTTTATCACAGCTATTGATTTCCAACACAGTGTGAAGTCACCTCTGATCCTATTATGAATGGTTAATAAGTGCTGCAGGCAGCCTTCGATTTTTTGTTTCTGATATCATGGCTCCCAATGAGAAATCACAATCAGCAGCTCAGAATTTTACAAGATTCAACATTTTTAAGATAGTTTCAGCAACTGCCTTTTAAACAGTCCTTCCAACCTCAAGCATAAAGATTCATCCCCATGACTTACAAAGTGTGTCCCCTGACAGGAAGGCTGATGGTGCGGGACACTCTGTCCCTGTTGAAAGGGTCTCTGAGGGGCACGCTGAGCGCCAGGCTGCCTGGAATCAGGCTTAAGCCATCCTCCTGGATATCTGTCAGAGAGGCTAGAGACTTTGTGATGTGCTGCTGCTTGCTGCCTGATGAGGGGTCCAGGACAGGGCCGAGGTACTCCGCCGACACCGCCTTCATCTGAACCGACAGGCGAGGCTCCGTCTGGGGGAAAAAAGGTGAAGCATTTGTCTTAAAGTCAGAGTTTATGAAGAAAGAATCTGAGTTTGATTCAGATGCATGTTTTCTCTGTTTCTCTGGGAAAATGAGAGGCAAGAACCACAAAACAAGCTGCTTAGAAAAGATGAACAAATGCTACATAAAAACGAGAGAAACCAAAGTGTGTAAAGAGAGCTGCACTAACAGAAGAATCTGTTTTCTACCATCAAGGTTTGTGTTTGCTTGTGCTGCCCCCCTGTGGATGCAACAAGTACTAAAGGATGCTTGGAAAAAACCTGAGGCATGGAGGGTAGCAGTAAGACATGATGGAGAGTGATCCTGTTCCTCTTACCTTTATTTTAAAATCATCCTGGCTGTTGGATTCCTTCATCTGTGAGACACTAAAGGAATTGATAAAACAAATGGGATGAAACACAAATAGGGGTCACACTATTTTACAAATGTTTAGTTTGTTTTTTTTTACCCCACATTCTACTAATTTTAGTTGCGTTCTTTTTTTGTGCTTAAGTTTCATAGATGAACAGGAAGTGGGGTGAAGACATTTTGCTCACCTGCTGTCAGAGGCTTGGCTGAACTCTGAGGGCTCCTCGTCTGTGCTGGCATAACCATTTTCTGAAAGCAGGGCAAAAAAAAAGAAACTAAATTTACAGTTAAAATCCAGGATTCAGGATCAATTTAAATGTGAGTCCAGAAACATGTGAAAACGGAATGTTTTATGGTTTTTTGCTTTGCTGGTAATTTATCCTTTAAGGTTTCCTTTCATTGACGGTTTCATCCTGCAAACTAAGATAAGATGCTCTAAAAGAAATGTCCAAACTGAGTAAATGTTTTTGCAAACATTCACACCCATTGAATATGTTTGCATCTATATTATGGTAACAAACCATCAACGTTTATCCATCATTAACTGACACAAAGCAGCTCTTGTTTCGAATGCCTCTTCTAACGTTGCAGCTCGATATGAAAAGGTCTGAGCTAACCTTTGGGAGTGTATTATAGCATGCTACAGATTAGTTTAGCTCCATCAACCTTTATCAGCTCTGAGGAGCATCCATTTACCTGATAAAGAAGCTTATCCCCACAGCATGATGCTGCCACCACTGTGTTTCATGGTTGGGATCGATGTAGATTAAAAGAACCTTTTTGATGCCTGTTTACCAAGAGCATTTCACCATGCTTCCTATGGCCATAGCCCACGGTTTCTCCAGGGTACCTATGGGGCCTCCTGGCTGCTTCTGATAATTCTCCTCAGTTTAACAGGAAGGCTGTGTCATTGTAGGTTTACATTTCTGCCATGGTTTGAACGGAGCTTTGAGCTCAGAGCTTGAAATATGGTTTTATAAACTAAACTTGCTTTAAACTTCTGAACAAGTTCATCACTGATTTGTCTGCCTCTTTTTTTCCTTTTAGTTCAGCTATGTTCTCCTCTTCTGAGGCCTGAAACAGAACAGCTGGACTTATTCTGTATTTAGACCAGACTATGTGAAGGTCAATCAGAGTAAAGTCATTTAAATACCAGGGAGGAACTATATTGTAATTTAACCAATATTTTACACTTAAACTGGTTAATAACCGATATCAATAATCTGTTATTCTTAGACTCTCTTACAGATATCCTGTAGTTTTCTGCTTCCATTCCTTTGCAATCCCTGAATATAGCAATTCACCTATCAGTTTTGGAGAATTTAATATCAGCCGATATCGATAGCATGGGGATAACATTGGGCATCCCTACTAGATACCAATGCATGTTAGAGCAATACCCTTATTTGTAAATAAAGTTTTTAAGTGGTATATGGTGTTTGTTGTTTGACCATTTTTTTTTTTATCTGTCAATCGGAAGTAACGCTTAAAAAAAACCTTGTAAACAAACTTTATAATCATTTTAAACTGCTCTCACCTTGCTGGACGTTGTGGATCAGAGCCTGGAGCTCAGGGATGTATTCTGCCTTTTCTCTCAGCGCGTCCAGAATCATATGGTTGTGGGAGGAGCCGATTACATCAGTCTGTCTCAGCTGGCCCTCCAGAAGTCGGATCTGTGCCTCTTTCTGAGCCACCTGTAAACTCTATACACAGGCACACAGGAGGAGAGATCATTTGTTATATCTTCAGGCTCAAACATCCAGAACGTTTAAACCTTTAATGGTGCTCAGCCTCTTCCAACTGTGGGATTCAACCTTGCTCTAAAAAGTACAGAATTAATGCAAAACTTAACTACTTCTTAGAAACCCTTTCCTTCTAATTAACAGCTGTAAAGACAGTAACCCCTAATTTACACTATGTCTGTTTCCATTGCGCTCAGCTGCAAACTCTAATCAATGGGAGCCTTCACACAGCCTCAGCAGGGCGGTGGCGAGCTGACGGCATTAAATATACAGAAATAACATTGCCCCCACAGAAACCCAGAACTAGCAATAATCGGGTTTACTTACTCAAAGGCTGCTTTATTAATACTTTTACGAGTCTATTTATGCATTTGTATTCTTGCAATTGCACACATTAGATGAATTATGGGGCAATAAATATAAATGTAGGTAATCAAAATAAAACTGAATATCAAATACACACATAACTTCCCTGCACGCAGAGTACCAAGTCATCGCAGTATGTAATGCCATAAAACTGTCTGCATGTACAGAAATGAAAAGTAAAGCATTTTTAACCCTTTTAAACCCCATAGGAGGAGTTGTTTTGGTCTAACTTCCATGTTTATCACTTGCTGTTATTGTGAGATCTGTGCATATCTGTTGCTGCTCTGGACTTCACGCTGCATTGGAGCTGGATGCAGTGTACATTGGGACTAAATCAGCATTTTGCTTTCAGAGGAAAATCGAACTTCTGAGTCTATAAAAAAACATGTAAAATGTTCATAATTAACCACAGGGAACAAAAAAAAGAATATTTTATATTAATTAAAAAACAAACCCAGCACCATCAGTAGGCAATGCAGGTTAGGTGTCTTGCCCAAGGGCACAATACTGAAAGGTGAAGCAAGAGCTTGCACCAACAACTCTTCAGCTGCAGAGCAAACTCATGCATCTGAGGCCAGTCGCCCCCAACATAACATCATCAAAATCAAACCTTGTTTATGAAGCATTATCTCACGTGTTGTGCAACACAAAATGCTCTAGCTTTATTTCCAGAGCAGCAGCCTCACCCTAGCCAAAGCAGGACCCTTACATACACATCTCATGAACAACAAGCTTTTTTTGTTGTTTATTTTTTAGTGGGCCAAAGCCCTTAATTTAAGTACACTAATGGAAATTGGTGCTGTTATTGTCTTATTCTTTTAATAAGCTATGTAACCTGCTATGATCCCAGGTTTATAACAAGTGATGGAATGGGTTCTAGTTCTCACTTAGGGAACATTTAAAAGGCCGGTAACCAAGGAGCCAATGCATTGATTTTAGAACTGGGGTAAACCAAACAGTCAAAATAAAAAATAAAAACATTGCAGTACAGCAAACTGCCACTAGATGGTGTATAAAGAACAATTTATTATTGTAAGAGGCAGCACAGAAAAAATTTTTGGTGCAGGTTTATGCTTCATTTTTCACTGCACATGAGCTTCACCTTATCAATGGAGGCCTTCAGGAAGTGGTCCAGCAGGTGGCGTGCTTCAGCCAACGAACAGGAACTGATCACCACTGAGGTGTCCACTGAGTCCAGCTCATCCTGAATAACACCACAGAACATCAATGAGGGCTTTATGCTGCAAACACTCCATGTGTTTCTGTGTAAATGTTTGTGTCCTCTTACCTTGGTCTCCTCTATCTGCACGATGGTGGCCTGACAGTCAGACAGACTATCATTGATGTAGTCTATATTGGCATTCAGCACTTCGATCTCCTCGTTAACTTCCTGAAGGAGGCGGTCCTCGGCCTCCGGCCCCTCTCCGTCAGCCATCAGGACCTCCCTTTTATGAGAGAGAGCTTCCTGCTGCATTGTCAGCTCTTCTCGCTTCTGACTCATCAAAACACAATATGCACATGAGATTAAAAAAACTTTATAATAAGCAAAAAAAAAACATGATTTTGACTCAGAGTCATTCTGTTTTTCTTATTTTTTTTGATAAACACTTCAACCATGTTGTCATCAAAATATTAAGACAAAAATCAAGGTGTGGCAATTAAAAAAAAAAAAAAGGGCCGTTTGTCCTGCAGACACTTTGCCACGTAGGAAGAAGAGGAACTAAGCTCCTCACACTTGGTTTCAGTTCTTTTCTACTGACATGAATGAGTTAAAAGATGGGATGAAAATGCTTTGCAGAAACCAAAAAAATTAGGAAACGAAGTCCAAAAACCGAAACACCAAAAGAAGTTGCTATCTCAAATATTAAAATTGTAGCATTTTTGGCTATTAAAAAGACTTATTACTGTTTAACCTCAAGAAATTTCAATAAAATATTAGTTATTCAATAACAAAACAGGGCTTTTCATCTACAAATAGATAAGTGTGAATGGGGGGAGAAAAAAAATAGCAATATTCATGCGAGCACAGATTTCTCCACTTTCAATTGCATTTCGCTCTTAAAAGGTGTCAGGCTGGATTTAAATAAGATATCCGATTACTTTTGTTTAAAATAAGAAAGGGAAGACACAATTAATTAGATTTATTGTGATTAATTGCTTATTGAAATAATCGTCAATTAATTTAATAATCGATTCATCGTTAACTGGAGTATAAAGACTGTACAGCATGCCTTCAGCTGACAGAGCAACCTTGTTAGAGCAGCAAGCATACCAAAACCGTTTAAAAAATATTACAATTTTTAATTTAAAATAAAGATAAAAAACATTTTCATCTGTCAATATCCTTTATTCAAATTTCCTCAAGAGGTAAAGTTTTAGTTTGATCAGATTTAATAGTAATATAACATAATCAACAGATTAAATTATCTGCAAAATAATCGTTAGTTGCAGCCCTACTGAAAACGGTAGATTTGTACTGGGAAAATACTTAAGGAACCAGTTACTGCTGCCACTGTGGCCTTACAGATTCCCTGCAGTGACACCTAATGCAGCACAATAGTGTGAATGCATTTACCTCCTTACTGGCACATAAACATGAGAAGAAAGGCGCTGTGGGAAGGTGAACCATGTGCAGTTAAGACTGCAATCGGTCTTAATGGCAGGTGAGCTCGCTGCAGCCACAAGTAACCCCTGACTGCAGGCTGCAGATCTGGGCGTGACTAAACGTTGAGCAACACCTAAATCACCCACATTGCAAATGCATGAGCTTCCAAATGTCTTCTTTTCTGAAATTTTGGCCTATTTGAAAAGGATTGTAGGAACCAAATGACTTTCTTTAATCTCCCACACACCTTCAAAGAGCTTCTGCAATGCCAGATATTCCACACCACACACTTAGGAAAAACAATGTGGACAGAACCAAGTGGAAAGACAGTGGACGGTCTTTATAAATAAAATATTGTGATATGATTGGGCCAGTACATTGACTAAATCCATGGTTTTAGCCCTCCAACCCCTGACAAATTTGCCTTTAAATGTAACCTTATCTGTTCTTCAGAGCTGTATTTATGCATGTATTTAAAATAAAGAATATCTTTTTATTCAAGTTCAATTTCTAATGACAACTGATGTCTTATGACAGCGTGTTAAAGGGTTAAATCCAAGGGAGGAAAAAAAATGACCAAAAAAAAAAAAAACTGTTTTTTTTTTTTTACATTTTCAAAAACAGATTTTAAACATCTGTCCAGACCTTGATAAGGCGATCCATGTCTGCTTCCACATTAGAGATGGTCATTCTCTGCATGACGATGTCCATTATGCGGCGCTCCAGGGTTTGCCACTTCAGGCGGGCAGCCTTGGAGAAACTGTTGGCTCTGCCTGCAGCAGCAGTGCTGCCCAGGCCTGCTGGTTTCCTCTGCATCATCTTCTTGCTGATGAAAAGTTATAATGCATAAAAAGAAGACTCATATTCCTGCATTTTTTCAGACATTTTGATGTGTGTGAAATGTTTTATATGTCTTAAAGGTTTCAGAATTTGTAAGCAAACAAAAATGCAGAAACGGTACATGATGCTAATTTCACAGTGATATTTTTCTACCAAATCCAGGCTAAATGGGTCTAAAGACATTTAAACTCCATAGTTTTCACTTTTGTTTGAAAAATGCTGAGTTACTTGTAGGGATGCACGATATAATCGGCCCCCTATCGGTATCGGCCTGTATCGGCCTTAAAACTGAATATCGGACATCGACCCCACCGATATTTAACCCGATATTTGATCAGCTTTTGAGTTTCTAAAGTCTAAAAAAAAAATAAAAAATACTACTTCTTCTTCTTCCTCAAAAACTTATTTTTTACAGACTTAAAAACTTCTAAAGACGAGGGAAAAAATATTGATACATTAAAATATCCCAATATCTTCATATGCTGATATATTGCCTTTTAAAAACACCATATCAATCTCTTTTACTAATGAAATATTGCTATATGTCATCGTTATGCTACGAAATCCCCCGAAAATTCACGAAATTTTGCCATATTTTTATATGTTGATATATTGACGCGGTATCGATCTATTTTACTAACAAAATCTCACAAGAATTTGCAAAATAACTCGAGAGTTTGTAACAGAACGAAGAAATTTCACGAGATTTTGAAAGTAAAATAGATCGATACCGCGTTTTTAAAAATCAATTTGATATCAGCATATGAAAATATATTTGGGTATATTATTTTTCAAAGTGTCAGAAATAGATAACAAAACTGCTGTTTTCAATGACTACTTATTTTTGTCCAGCTTTAACATCAGTATCGGTTATCGGCTACATGAGTTTTAAAATATCGGCATATCGGATATCGGCCAAAATCCCAATATCGTGCATCCCTAGTTACTTTGCATTGCTACGTGCAGCTAGATAACGCTTACCTAATCACCCGCGTTCCATCCATACTCCCCTCGCTCTCCGCTATGTATCCGTACGCGTTGTTCTTATTGTTCCACTGCCGCACCAGCCCACTCACGGTCCTCGCAGTCTCCGCCTCAGAGCCGCTCGCCGTCGTGCTGGTTGACAAGTCAGCTCCAGAGTCCGTAACGGGGGGCGTTTGGTTCCAACGGGCGACCCGCCCTGCCACACGATCCGACATAGGCTTGGCCAGGCGCCGCAGGGCCGTCACTTCCTGGGTCTTCCTGCGCAGCACCAGCTCCTGCTGCCTCTTCTGAGACTCCAGCGCTCTGATCTGGTACTAAATTCAGCAGGTGTTTGGATCATTTAGAGTTTATAAATGTCCTTTTTTTTTGTGGTTTTATTAAAATAACATTCTAAAGTTCAGGCTGTTTATTTTTATTTTTTTTACTTTTCTTAGGGACTTAAGACGGAGCCCTAAAGGATCACAAGTCAGGAAGAAAATTCAGAATGTAAAAACTGCATGTTTTGTATTCTTGTTTTTCAGCAATACTTCTACTTCCTGCCTAGGAGCAAATACCTAAATACAGATGGAAAATACTGACGCTGACTGGAATAACTACGTCCAAGCTCTCAGGAAGCAACATTAAAAAGTCTGCACAAATTTCGGCTCCAAACGCAGTCATTAAATGCTCTCTAACCTCCTGTCGACGCTGCTCCTTCTTTAGCTGAGCAATCTCTCGATTCCTCTTAGCCTCTACCATCCTCCTCCTCTGTTGCTCCTCCTTCATCTGCTTCATCAGCACCACCTGAGAACAGGCCGAAGCTGCACGTTTAAAATTCCTTCCTTTTATTTTTTCAACCAGACTAACTTTCGTCCGCTTACCTTTGCCTTCTTCATCTCGTTGACCTCAGTCTGCAGCTTTTTCAGCTCCCGCTCGTACCTGCCCTGGTTTTTGAGGAGACGTGCATGCTCCTTTTGGGCTGCCTGCAGCTTGAGCAGGTCCCGGTTCATTTCTTTCAGCCGCTTCTCGTACTCCTGCCTGATTTTGCTGGCCTTCTCCTCGGTGTAGTTTTCCATGGACACTGAACAGCCATGTAAAAATGTTGAAGAGGCAACAATAGTTATAAATTTGTTGAGGATTACTGAGGTAAACTCACTGAGGTTCTGAAGCACACGGTCTCTCTCCAGCTGCGTGTCTCTGATCTTGTTCTGCAGCAGGATGAGCTTCTCCTCGTACTGCAGCTTTAACATCAGCAGCCGCCGCTGGCTGTTCTCCAGCTCGTCTATCAGCCTCTGCTTGATCTCAATCTCACAGGTCAGGTCGGCCAGATCTGCCTGAAAGTTGGCTGCATGTTGGGGAGTTAAAGAAATTATTTTAACCCCAGTCTACATTCATATTAAGTAAATGCACATTGGAAAACAACAAAACATTTAAAAAATGAGCATAGAGTCTGCCATTGCCTTTCTCATCCGAGTCAGAATCTGAGTCCACCAGGCTCTCATCACTGTCGAAATCGTCTTCCTCGTCCCTGCCCTCCTCTTCATCCTCGCCTTCATCTTCCTCACAGCCGCTCTCCTCCTGCAGCGGAGACATGATGTCCTACAAACACACAAAATCTATACTTTAAACTCTATCCTGCTGATTTATAGAGAATTGCTAATAAACCTACACCTCACCTCGGTGGTGTTGTCGTCTGAATCGATCTCTCCATTCTGTCCGTTTTCCTGACAGTGCAGCTTTACTCGTTTCTTCAGACCCTTCTCCAACTCTGGGCTGCAGGAGGGAGAAAAGCGTTATTAAATATCTTTAGATAAAATCATTACTGTGCTTTAATCAGAAGATTACCCTGCAGGATTGCTGCCTTCTAACAATCCTAGCAAGCAGATACGCTGATGGCAAACATAAGCCTTCCATTAAACTACATCAACCTTTATCCTTTACATTAGGTTTTTAAGTTTTATTACTCGTTTTATTCCCCCTATGCTCTCACCTTTATAGATCCTATCAGCCATTCCATCTGCCACCATTTCTCTGCAATTAGACTGTTAGACTTGTACTCCTCATCTCGTACGACCCATGGCTAACTGTGTGAAACCTTTTAGTGTCCTTCGCCAGCATAAACCGACAGCACTCCAACGCTCCCAATGTCCCAAAGTCCTAATTGACTTGGATGCAGCTCTCAGAAAGAAAATGAGGCAGAGACGGAAGCAGATGCAGATCTTAATCCCTTTCAGCTTGTAAAATGGGCGCAGAATCAATTCAAAGTTTGTTCAACATAAAGCTCAGGTGTTTGGAGACACTGCCTTATTGTCTAAGTTTAAGCATAATATCTGAATCGTTATTTAAGAAACAAGTTTCCTTTACATTTTATTTCATATTGTTTGGTTTTATGGGTTGGCATCTGGTTAGAAAGCGAATACTAGTGACCTTGAGCTGTTTGACGTAGATAGCGTTCAACTGCTGTCTGACCTGACCGCAGAGAGCCTGAGATGGAGTGACTAAGCAGCTGACATTTACAATCGATCAGGTGGAGAGAAAAAATGCATTCGGCTGATCTGGAGCTGGATAAGAACATAAAAAAAATAAAAAATAAAAAAAAGATAGACAGTGCATGTTGGAGTAGCTCTGCAGGGACTTTAGTTCCTCTGTGGATCAAAGTTTCTTTCTTTTATGTGTTTTACCTGGAGTGTTGGATGCTGTGTAGAAAGAAGGTTTTTTTTTTATCTTTTCATTTTTTTTTCAACTTTGTGATGATGGGTAACCATAGCAACCTGGTTTTTACACCTGGGAGCAGCTCATTAACATCTCAAAAGCATATGTCAAACACTGAGTTGAAAAGGAGGCGCCAAGGATCCATAGTGGCAAGGAAAGGGAAGAGAGGAGGAGAAAATTCAAGCCATCTCTTCCATCAGTTATTATGGACAATGCTTTCTGCCCATAAGAGCAGACAGAGATTTAAAAATGGCTGAAAATTTAAAGTAGAAACTCCTCTAGAACCACAGGAGAGGATTTCATAAAGAAAAATGAAAAACAATATGAAAAATATCGAGGATCCTCTTCAGAAGACTGTTAAACACAAACAGCTGCAGTAAGAGGCTTATCCAGATCCGGTACAAAAAACATTTATTTTACCTTTTCTATCAATGAATTATCTTTTAACTAAAATCATAATCAGTACAGATCTTTTCATATATTGTCTAATTAAAGATGAAAATCTTTACGGACTGATGAATAATTTGATTGGTGAATGGATCTAAAAGGGAACAAAGACAATGGAATAAAATGATATTCAAATTTTCCATTTCTTCACCTCAGTCTTCTCTGTCGTCTCTCCTTCTTCTTCAGTCTCTCGATGTCCATCTTGGCACGTCGCAGCACATCCGTCATCTCGGCCTCCATGGACAAGGACACAGGGGAGGAGCCCTGGGGATGGCCGGGGGCGGGGCTTAGAGCAGAGGCTGGAAACGAGGAGCGAGAGGAGAGCCGGGCCACCTGCCGTCGCAGCGACTCGTTCATGGCCTCGCTCTCGAGGAGTTTGGATCTGACCAGGCAGGAGGAGTTAAAAAGACAGAAATGAGGAAGATTTAAGGATCATTGATATTTGAGCTCACAGATCCCCCAGAAGTCACAAGTCTTGGAAAGCTTATAATCAAGCCGTTACCTGAGTTCTTCAACTTCTCGGATATAGTTCTGTATGAGCGTTCCAATCTCCTCATTGCCTTCACCTGCAGGTCAAAAGAAAAGCTACTTTGTTAAACTGTTTTTGACCAACAGTAAAGGTATACATACAGCCTTATAAGCATAAGGAACAGTGTTCAGGTGTGGAGCGTCTCTGTGTCCACGTACTTGACTTGGTGAGCAGAGTGCTGATCTCATTGGCCAGCATATGTGTCACCCGAGTGTTGAGGTGATCGATGGTCTCCTGCATGGCTTTTACCCTCAGTCTCAGAGAGTCATTCTCCCTCTGCAGCATGGTGTTCTCCTGGTATAGGTCACTATAGCCTTCTGAACCTTCCTCACCCGCCACACGCTTTCCCTGAGGGGAAATAAACAAAAAGAAAAAGTCAGGCCTAGAGAGAAAAACTGAACACGGCGCCATTGTTCAGACTGAGTGTAATTGTCTGTGGCTCCTCAGGCAGCCATTGTTGGGGTTTTTAGGGGCAAACATTCTGCTGTTTATGCCCCAAACAGAGAGGCAGTATCTAATCTGGTCAATCGCACCTCAGTCCATTAGCAGACTACAGTCACATCCCATCGAGGTCAGCTGACAGCTCCTTAACACAGATGTTTTCCTCTCGTAACCATAGTGATTTCAGGCTAAACAACAGCTTTTTTTATTGTAGCCACAGGTCAAAGCTGACAAACTTAAGCTCCATGTTAATGCTCCAAATACATTTTCCATCCTACTTCATATACATGTTGCCTGAAATCAGAACGATTTCTACTGAATCCTTTCATATTTCATTTTGGAAGACCAGCTTCTTCATAATCAAGCTAATTTATACACAGTGCTTCAGCGATTTTTTATTCACCCTTTAGTATTTTTTTTTATTTTTACCTAAAAGACCTGTTTTTTGTTTGTTTTGTTTTTTTGTTAGTTTTTTTTATATTATCTTTAATTGTCAATTCAATAGAAGTTCAATAGTATCAAATGGTTTTAGAATAAAGAACCAAAAGTTTGTTGTGTCCAGCTGAGTATAAATCCAGCTGTTCTGTCGAGATCGTAAAGGTTTCTTAAGAAATATATCAATTTTTAAAAATAGTAAGGAATATGGAATTAATTTTATTCCTTTATTGCTACAAAAAATGCATTGTATATATATTAAAAAGACATATTTAGTAAATATAGATTTAAAAAATGCGATCCAGATTGCTCAAATTCTTTCAAAAAATTTTTAAAGCTTTATATTTTATCATTTTTTCTTGCAAATTTCCATCTTTGATTGAGTGTTAAGAACTAAACTATTTTTAAATTGCATTCAACAGGTCACATTCTCTTCAATTCTGGGGGCGGGTGATATTATAAGAAAGTGATTCATAAAACTTAATCTGAAAAACAGAAATAAAAAAAAAACATTTGAAAATATAAAATAGAAATAAAATAAAAAAATGTATTTAAAACACATTTATTTGTAATGTTTTGGTACTCGGCCTTCATCAGGGTAAACTATGATCCTTTTTTACTTTTGCATCTGTCAGGTTTATATAGATGTGTGAAGAGCTCTATTGAAAAATATAAATAATACATTTGAAAAAAATAATATTAACCCAAAAAAACAGCTAATCTAAAAAGTTAATCTGAAAACTTTTAATTGATTTAAACGTTTCCAACATTTAATTTCTGAACTGCACTTTCTTTATTCCCACATACAAAACATGTTCTTTACTTGCAACACTAATGGGACAAAATTCCCTCCATAAAGGAGCACAGAACAAGCAAAACATTATTTACAGTGAAAAATGAAATAATCAAAGGTAACGCCTTGAAACATGCTTGTAGCTTAGTGCTGTTAATGAGAAGATGGATGCAATACAGGGCAATACTTTAAGGAAAACCTTTAGAGGTTAGAACTTCAGACTGAGGTTCAAGGTAAAATTTTAAGCAGGAAAAAAGCCATAAAAATAAAACGTGAGCTACAATCGAATGGTTTAGATCAAATCATAATGGTAGAATTTAAAGTCCAGAACTAAATCAAACTGAATTCTTAGTAAATCGGTGGTAGACTGAGACAGACTCAGATAGACCCAAAAAGCCTGAAATTGTAATGAAACATGGTTTCTACTGACATCATTACAGATGTACACACATCACTTAAGATTCTGGTTAAAAAAACTGATAGTTATACATCCTTTGTTTTCCAATCCTAACTAAAATCCCCATAAAATCCATTAGTTTGTGGTCATAATGTGATAAACAGAAAGGTTCAGAGAGTGTTAATGTTATTTGCGAGACTGTAGGAAATGTGTAAAAGGTTAAGTTTAACCCAGTGACCTTCATTTCCTTCTGTTCAGTTACTTTCCTCCATTTCATTCATCTAATCACCTCTCTTGCTCCTTTTTTCATTCAATGTGTTATCAGATCTTCAACCTGCCACTTTCCATTTCTCCATCTTTCCCTCTTCTTTTTAATCCAGAATGGCTTATTTTAGTTTCACCCATCACCTCCGTCACTCACCGCCTTGTACTCCATCAGCTCCATCTGGAGCCGGGCTATCTCCGCCCGCAGAGCGTTGATCTGCTGGCTGGTCTTGTCTTGGTTCACCACCACCTTGTTCTTGATGTTTCGGGCACGGTTGGCGTACTTCAGCGTGTTCAGCGTCTCCATGAAGTCACGGTCCGACGGGCTGACGCAGGCGATCATGACCGTGCGGCTAAAGAGAACAATCAGACGCTCAGTTCTTTTCAGTATCATCTTACTACCACATATCTATATACCTGTGAAAATACTGTTTGAGTACCTGTTGCCTCCTAGCGAATCCTGTAACAGTCGCGTAAGCTTGGAGTCTCTGTATGGGACGTGTCCTGCTTTCTTATTCTGATCACCTAAAGCGCTGATCACATTCCCAAGAGCAAGCTGAGAAACCAGAGAGAAGCATCCAGACGGTATTTAGGAAGAGCGAGCAAAAAAATTAAGATGCAGTGCAGTTTGAGCACAGTACAGCAATGAGGATACAATCATTTTTCTCTCTGACCCACCAGCCCACAGTTAATAGAGATTCCCTCTCTGGCCCGCTCTCCGGTGGCGCCTGTGCGTTTAAGCCGCTCAGAGCCCGCCAAGTCTACGAAGTGAAACTTGGCCATCAGTGTCTCGTACTCTGGCTGGGCAATGGGTGAAGAGTCTACACCGTTCACCTCCGTGTTCTCTCCTCCGTTCTGCTGAGAGTAAAGCATCCAACATCAGGCTGGCAACCATTTAAACACCTCACGTTCTGCTGAGATCAGCTTCAGTTAGTTCGAAATATACATTTTCAATCTTATTAACAGATTCAACCAACAATACAATGCTTTTAAAAATCATTTTACATCTTCAAGGCTCTCCGTTCTCCTGCAAACTTCTGGACTTACCATCTCCTGCTGTTGAAACACCCTCATCTGACAGACATGGATGGTGAAGATGGCGTGCGAGCGGGAGCTTTGTGCGTTCATCTGTGTGCTGGCTGTGGTACGGGACAGAGCCCCGAGCTTCAGGCACTGCAGCAGCTGCAGAACACAAAGTAGGACAGTTATAGACTTTTCATCTGAAATTAGACAAATTAAAAAAAAACAATTATTAGCATAGACTAATTTGTAAGAAGAAACATTTAAATTTGTTCTGATGCTTATCATTGCCAGGAGGAATCCATAAGCTTCCAAATACGTTTGATGATTTAGAAACAACTCCCAACTCTGCTCATTTAAAGATTTGTCAAGAATTTTTTTCTTATTTCTTAGTCATCCTGCCTTCACCTTTCCTTTCTCCTTAATTACTGCCTCCTTACTCCCAATTTGTTTTGTTCTTTAAAGTCGAAAGGAGTCTTCCAATGGGTCATAATTCAGCAAATGAAAGCAAACATGAGCTGACAAAAATAAAGACATCATTTCTTAACTCTGCCACTGCATAATTATTGAAGTGTTGTTGGAGCCAATCAGTTCCTGTGAAACGTTTCCACCTGCATCCTCTGCTATGGTGCAAGATAAAAAAAAATGCGTAGGTATTTAAATTTGTAAATTTAAGTCAATAGACAGGAATAAATTTAAAATCTGTATTTATTCTTTGTTGACAATTCATATATCAGTGAAAATCTATGTTTAAAAGTTACTAATAAGTGAAAACTTTGCAGAACTACAGGTACAAATCCTACACTTTATAGGTTGAAATCTACAGTACCAACCTGATAAATCTGTCACTATTCACCAGCTAGTGGTGGTGATGCACCTAAAAGTTGCTTGCTAAACACTTTTAAACCCAAAGAAGAAGATAAGTAAAGAAAAAATCCACTGAATATGAGGCACAGGCATTGAAAAAATGTCATGAAAGATGTAAACTTGTTGATTCACACTCATAAATTTGTCATTTGTACTTGTAGATTTCCAAATTCATAGATGTTTACCTTGCATTCATAACATCTAAACTTTTATCATCTCAGATGAAAATCTAATGTCATGCATCTATGAGTTAACAAACAGCAACAAAAATAAAAAATCTTAAATATATGCAGTTTATTGACTGATATTTACAAATACAAACATCTAGGTTAATGTTTTTATTGACAGTTATTTTACTTTGTTGTCGTGTTTAACAAATATTCCTTTGGGGGAAAAAAATCTGAAGTATTTTCCCACATCAGTCATTGATCGCTTAACTGGAACTTTTAATATATTGTACTGTTTGTTTAACTTTGATTTTCAATTTAACTATGAAGTCATATTATGCTTTCTTCTCAGGTACTTCTTTTATAGTTTCCACAAATATATGCAAAATACATTTTCAGTTGTAAGTTTTTTGAAGTTGCCGTTTGTGCAACAGCTACAGAAGCAAACCAAAAAATGTGTCGCACAATACTTGGGATTTTATTAAATATCACAATACATCAAAAAGAGCGATATATTGTGATTTTTATAATCATATAGCTCTGGCAAACCTCAGGAGATCTGCTGTAGCTGCTAGAGAGCAGATGATTAATAGGATCTTCGGCTGGGCGGCACCACCTAAGTGGTTGGAGGTTTCAGAGTAAGACAAGGAATTTAGTGTTTGCCTATAAATATTTTTCTTTAAATTTTAGATCTACTACTTTAAATACTAATATCATCTAATGACATATCTCTATACTTGACTGACTCATTGAATTGTCCTCTAATTGGAACTGGGGGACTTTTTGTTGAATGGCCCCAACAGTATCAGAAACTGAAAAACTGTTTATATGTTCCCAATCAGTGAACAAAACATACTTGGTTCTCCAAAGTAGTGCTGATGATACTTTAATAAGATGTAGAACAGGGGTCACTTATTAAAAGTCAGCGGGGTCCAAATAAAGAAAATCATCAACCAGTAAAGGTCCGGAGATATTTTATTATAAACATTGAATTAAAAAAAAAAACATAAAAAAAGAAAATGTTTCCATTTTAAAATCTAAAGTGTTTTTTGAAGTAGAGAACAACAATCGTTCAGTTTGGTTTTTAGACAATTTCCTGATTAACATATTTTATAAAACACCTAAATTGACTTTTTTTTTTAATGAGAGCTTAATGAGAGCAGTGGGCTTTAGCTGCTCTGCAAAGGTCAGGGTTTGAATGACGACAAAGCCATTCTCAAGCCATTTCAGGCTCATGCGTGAGATTATATATTCCCAAAAACTAAGACCGTTTAATTAAATGATTGGATGCAAACTATTGGTACTTGAACAGACCAGGAAGCAGATTTCTCATCTCGATCAAAATATTTATTTTATACTAAGAGGCTTAAAAGTTAAATCAAATCCAGTCAAAATGCCCCAGAGCGCCTCTCACAACTTCAAAAGAAACTTCTCATCTCTTCTGGATGAAGAGATGCTGAGTTTGGAAGCAGAGAACAAACATAGTTCATACAAACAATGTAGGATCGTAGTTATGGATGGATGGATGGATGGATGGATGGATGGATGGATGGATGGATGGATGGATGGATGGATGGATG